AGACAACCACATTATGTGGTATTTTGTTGAAGTGGGTGATTGATTGTGTCACAGGCACATCTAGATCCATTTAACCCCTCCAGTCTCATGAATGCTCTACAATAAAGGTTTTTTAAACAAGGCTAAATGAGTCGTGTGTTAAATATTTTTTATGCCTTTTTACATAAACTGTATTAAAAAGATGTTTACCTTGAAATGTTTTTGCAGTGATCTGCTTTCACTTTGCTCTCACCCAGGGGATCCAAGAAACTACTCCTCTTCTCACCTGGTACCACATACTGTATATTTTATGAGAAAATAAACATTTAAATTCATATTAAAAACATATTATATAGCCTAGTACAGTAATTTGAATTGGTATTGACAGATAATGTGTTCAAATGTGTACCTCTAGCGTCAAGTGACAGCATTGGTTGACTATCCCTAGGACATACTTATATAAGCTCGGGTCAATCTGAAAGTCAGTGAAAAAAAAACATATCATATTTAAAACTTTTTAATGAAAAGCTACCACAAATTTAAGGGAGACAAATAACCTTATTACCTTAATGTTTGGTTTCTTATGTTGCCATATGTTTGTTTTTTAAAACAAATCAATGGCAAAGGCCTTTTCTGTATTTTCCTCATTAAATCATTTCTAGGGGCGGGTAAGCATTGATTACCTGTGAAATGTAATTTAAAATAGTGTAAAATTATGTTCTCATATCCTTCCTGTCATATATGGGAGCAGGGTTGGAAGGAGGAGTAGAAGGAAACACAGGGGAATATAAATAATCTGGCAATGAACAACTGCTACACACAGTTGGTGAAAATTGGTTAGGGAAAATTGGTGCTGCAGGAAATAGGAAGTCAGATGAACAGAATGCACCAGGGAAAAAAAGTCTGCAAAAGAAAACATAAAACAAGACGGGACAAAGCCAAAAGACAAAACTAACCCAAACTCCACAGATCCTGACACTTCCTTTTACATCTTACCTCACTTTTGATTTCTTTTTGAGGTGCTGTGTTGTAAATTCCACCCAAAAAAAATTTGTATGGTCAAATTTTTGCATAGAGAACACCAGAGTTCATTCCTTCCCATGCATCTTTCCCATCTGTAATACAACAAAGCATTGCCTCTTTTACAGCTGATCTTCTTTAATAATAATTGTCCTCACAACAGGCAACAAAGTATCTTACACATTCATTCAAAATGTAATCAGTGATACTTTGAATGAATTTGCTTATCAGTTTTGTTGTTTGTGGCAGGGACCACATCCCAAACAACAGGCATATTTCTGTTGAGTTCTCAGTTTTGTTTTTTAAGGTATTTTTATTTACCTTGTCAATAATAGTACTTTACTATATGTCTATTGTATTATCTATTTTATATCTTGTTGCTATATATCACGTGAGACTCATTTCCTACCTACATGCCGTATTTGTTTCATTATATTATCTCTCATTTGACTGTGGGAAAAATAAGGCCCCCTATATTTTTGGGTGGTAAAAATTTACTTAAGGATAACAAAGATATTCTTTTCTGTTTTACTTCTACTCTGTTTAAAATGTTTTGAATAGATCTATGGAAAAAAATGTTGGGCATGTGGTCGCTGCTAAAGAAAAGCAAGAGTAGGAGCATCAAGACATAATTTATAGTTTTAGTTTAAATTGTTACACCTACTTCTGATAATTTAGAGATTAACAGGGTGGTTTTATTTTAACCAAAGAATTAAGAAATTTGTCCTAAAGCGGTTCTGCATGCAGAGCTGGTTTCTGTGGACACAGGCTGGTCTCTGTGGATGCTGTGGTTGCAGGTTGTACAGTATGGTGGACAGTCGAACTTCAAACATACTAGAGTGCACTGGAGTGCTGGTTCTACTTATTATTGGTGTGATCTCCTTAGAACAGGTCAGAATGAGGCTCAGTATTGTTTGTGGCCTCCATGTTCCCCTATGACCTCTCTAAAAACCTGGGGATGCGCTTCATGAGGTGGAGGATGGTCTTCTGAGGCATCTCCTCCCAGACTTGGACTAAAGCATCCATCCCCTTCTGGACAGTTTGTGATGCAACATGACGTTGGTTGATGGATCGAGAAATGTCTCAAATGGGCTCAGTTGAATTCACGTCTGGGACACGGGTGGGTTAGTCCATAGCTTCAATTTCTTCATTTTGTAGGAACTGCTGACACATGCTAGCAACATGAGGTCTAACATTGTCCTGCATTAGGAAGAACCCATGGCCAACTGTATGGAAGAATTATCCTGCCATAATGCAAGAGCACATAATTTCAATTTGAGAAAAGTATTTCATCTTCTTGCACTCAAACTTATAATGCTTACACTCAAAACATGCGCTCTCTCTCAAATGTTTTCTCTTCTCTCTCAAATCTTTGTTTCTTCTCTCAGATTTAATGCTTCTTGCACAGATATTTTCTCCTCTCGCTTGCCTCCTTCTCTTCGCGCACAAACCGCGCTCTGCTCGAGTCTCAGTTACGCTCGCAAACCCGTAGGCTCTGCTTGCGGATTTTTTTTGCTCTCTCTCAGTTTGGATCGGATCGTCGCCTAGCAACCTTTAAAGCCAATAGAACGACAGCCTCAGAAAGGGTGCGCTTGTCTAACTTTACTGAGTGTGCCTGTGATAAACCTTACCAACTGAGACCCGAGCAGAGCGCGGTTTGTGCGTGAAGAGAAGGAGGCAAGCGAGAGGAGAAAATATCTGTGCAAGAAGCATTAAATCTGAGAGAAGAAACAAAGATTTGAGAGAGAAGAGAAAATATTTCAGAGAGAGCGCATGTTTTGAGTGTGAGCATTATAAGTTTTGAGTGCAAGAAGATGAAATTTGTTTCTCAAATTGAAATTATGTGCTCTTGCATTATGGCATGATAATTCTCCCATACAACTGCACCAGCATATGGTCTCACAAAGGGTTTAAGAAAATATAGATAGATATATTAAAACAATAATAGTAGGTTTTGTCTCACTAGATTCTGCTTCTCCAGACAATATACTGTTCAAGGTCACTTTTTTTTTATTACAGACTGTTATTTACGAACATAGAAAGACTATAAGAAAACCAAATAAAGTCCACATTTTAACCCTATAATGCCAAATGTATCATATTTGATACATACGGTTTCTGAAATGTTTTGCGTCTGACACCTTTTGCATAATTTAATGGTAAAAACTTTGCTCAAAATCCTATTGTACACAATCAGATATACCTGATAACAAAGGGCAGAAGACTACACAAGAAATAATCTTGACTTATCGCATATTAATAAATTATTAATATCAAAAATGTATTTCTGTTTTTTCTTTTTACATATTTTGTTAAAAGGCCAAATAAGGACTTCAAACCAAAAACAAGTTTTTTTCTGTTTTGTTTTATTCTTGGATCGGGCTTTAAAGGGTTAACTGAACTCTGGCATTTTAAACAGAAAGATAAGTCATGGAGAGGGAAATTCTCTGTTTAAATTAAGACATAATGTACCTCTGCAGTTGGTGCATGTTCAGACAAATCTTCTGGAGTAAATATGCATTCCCCATTTACATTACTTGGCAAAAAGGAGACACATTACATAGCTTTTACTAAGGTGTATTTCAATGGAAGTTGTGTAAAATGCTTGAGGCAGAATACAGTTAAAAAGGATTAACATTGGAAAAAACAAAGTAACTACGTATATATATATATAAAAAAAGAAATTATCACATGATTATTATCGCAAAAGAATATAGAAATTGCATAAAATGCATAACCGTATAACCAGGTTATCCTTTTGTTGCGGTCTGTATCTTGCAGAAACACAATCAGATGTGTTTTAATATCTTGGCCACTCAGTGCTGTCTTATCCAGCCGTTATGTCTATCATAAAACAGCCGAACCGTTGCATTGGAGCAGAGTAAAAACTAAAACATAGAGTTTTGTTGTTTAGATTACTTTAAAAAGTATATTTTCTTTAAACAATTAGGCAAAGGAAAATGAACAGCAGAGAACAATAAAGAGAAGCCTACAGAAACACAGCACAAGCAGTCGTGTAAATAAATACACTCTGACCTTATAGCAGTTTACTGGAATTAAACTGACAATCCAGGTTGTGAGGTGGAATCATCCCATATTTATCAAATACATTTTGCTAGAAATGTTTTAGATATGTTGTTTAAACAAATCTAATAAAGAATTAATACAGTTCTGGTCATAACATGGGATCCAGATCAGGGTATAGGTGCATTAAGCGCCCTAACTCTTTTAAACTTAACAGAATTTTTCACCACCTATAAAGTGTTTAAAAATCTTCTTTCTTAATTATAGGATGTAGTGTCACAGAATTTAACAGCAGAACAGGGACTGTTTAAAGGTTGCTTATTTATAAAAGCTTTCTGTGAGAGACTACATGGCTGCACGTTTCCATGGAAAGTTGCCCTACCCTACCATCTTTACATCAAGAGAAATTCAAAAGTTCCAAGTAACTGACTGTTGGAAAGACCATAAAAACAATTTCTAAAGAAAAACTGAGCAACTCAGCAAAACTCGATGGATCAGTTCTTTGTTTCCCCGCCTCCCTTCTTGTATAAAAAGGGTTGAATATTTCACAGGTAGGGAGATTCTGGGGTTCTGCTTATGGAAAACTTTAAACTGGTAAGGATTTAACTTTTTTTTTTTCCCAGATATTCTAATATAAGTATGAAGGAGATGGTTCAGTTGTATATCAGCATAGTTGTAAGAGTTAAAAACCAATTTAAAATATAGCCTTTGTTTTATGTATTTCTTTGCTATGACACTATTTGTCCAAATGGGGAAAAAAGTTGCGGGTAATAATGATATTTATTAGTTACATAGCTTTTAGTAAACATGATAATTATGCTAAGGATATACTGGATGACCTTTAAATCAGAATTCTGTAGTTTATTTTAAAAAAGGACAATTCATATGATTCATATGAAATGAAATGTTATACAAGAACTTCTGCTTCAGTGAAGAATTTTTCTTCCTAAAACGGCTTGTTTCCTCCTTCAGAAAAACCAGAACACAAAATGAACCCATCTACAATGAAGCTGCATTGCTGTGAGTAGTTTATTAGTTCTTTATCAGTTCTTCTCTGTAATGGTTTAGTCATGTTGAGTTTTTTTGGAAAATCTTCAGACTAAGCAACTAAACTGGAGGTTATCTGAATTTTAATCATTTTTACTCACAAGTGCTTAGATCTGAGGCATCTGTGCAGCAAACTCCTCATGTAATTAGTTAAAGTTTCAACTCCAACCATCACCCTCAGTGGGTGGAATTAGGGCAAATTCCATAGGAATCCTGACATCTAATCGGTTGCTTCAAACACCAGGACAAAACAACTTCTTCCAAGTTTGCTATAACTTTGAGATAAATATCTAGAAAATTTTGGGATAAAACTGGGGGTATAAGGAAGTTTTGTTAACACTTTCCAGCAAAGGTGTGTGAAGCAGTATATCAGGCAACACATTCTTTATAGTAGGAGTCAAAATCTCGCCCACTGACTCTGATAAGTGAAGCTGACAGTTTAATTCATGTTTAATTCAGTTTATTTATATAGTGTCAATTCACTTTGCATGTCATCTCAAGGCACTTTACAGAGACAGTTCAACCAGATAAAACAGTCAGATTGGTTCAAAATTTTCTATCTAAGGAAAACCAGCTGATTGCATCGACCTATTGACTCAAAAACAATCCCTCACACCAAGCATGCATGTGGTGACAGTGTAGAGGAAACCATCCTTTAAACAGGAAGAAACCTTCAGCAGAACCAGGCTCAGTATAAGTAACAAATACTGCAGAATGGGTGAATAGAGATAGAATGAAGCAGAATTATGAAAAGGGCTCCCTATGTCCTCCAGCTGTCTAAACCTATAGCAGCATAACTGTGGAGATAGTTCACGAGAACCATGAGCCCCTCAAACTGTAAGCTTTGTCAAAAAGGAAAGTTTTTGGCCTATCCTTAAAAGTAGACAGGGTGTCTGCCTCACGGAGTAAAACTGGTATTTGGTTCCACTGGAGAGAAGCCTGATAAATTAAAGATCTGTCTTCCATCTTACTTTTAGAAATTCTCAGATGTAAGATGGAGCTTGGCCATTTAAGGCTTTACATGTGAGAAGGAAGATTTTAAATTCTTATTCTAGATTAAACAGGAAGACAATGAAGAGAAGCCAGGATAGGAGAGATATGATCTCTCTTTTTAATTTTCATTAGATCTCTGGCTGCAGCATTATGGATCAGTTAAAGCGTTTTAACTACAGTTTTCGGACTTCCTGAGAGCAAAGAATTACAATAGTCCAGCCTTTAAGTAAAAAATGCATGGACTAGTTTCTCTGTATCACCCCTGGACAGGATATTTCTAATTTATGCAATATTCTTGAGATGAAAGTAGGAAATTCTAGAAACCTGTTTGATATGGAATTTAAATGACACATTTAGAAAATTGTATGATGAGTCTGCTCTGTGGCCTCTTAAATAAATAGACACAGTAGAGTAAAACTAATGTTTAAATAAATGCATTATATAAAATCATAATTTATCATTTAGTATAATTTTTTGAATGGTATATACATTTCTAACATAGTTTATTATCTCAATAAACTATCGTCAAGCATAAAAAAGCATGCATATTTTTGCATAGGTAAAATGACATTAATGAAACTTAGGAGCAATAGTGTCCCTACCAAAGTGGAAATCAAACCTACGCCCTTGGATTTGAGGCCTGCTTACCCTACACAGAGACTTTTGTGTGTATTAAAACACTGATGTTTTATATACTGTATACTCCAATTTATTATATCTGTATTCTTTGTGTCTCCAGTTGCTTTTGGCTTGTTGCTGCTGACTCTGCACCATTGCATCTCAAAACAAGTTGATCCAGAAGAGAAGACGTTAAGGAACTGCTTAAATGATACAGACTATCCGGAGCTTCTCGAGATAGCAAAGACCGGGCTCAACAAAACCCACAGGAAATACGATGTTGTGATTGTTGGAGCGGGTGTAGCTGGACTCACTGCTGCCAAACTGCTGCAAGAAGCTGGATATGAGGTACATGTGAAATAAAAATCTATTTTATTTTGTTGGTTTGGGGCAAATTTTGAGTTGTGGAATGACTCATAAAATTTTGCCTTGATTATATTTGTTTTTTCTAAATCAGGTTACTATACTGGAGGCAACTGAGCGAGTTGGAGGACGGGTGTTAACCCATAGGAATGATGAAGAGGGTTGGTATGTAGACTACGGGGCCATGAGGATTCCATCTTTTCATCAGTAAGTGAAAATTATTTCAAATGCAATATTTTCAAGTTGAATCCCTGTAGATCTTTTAGATTAAAATCAATTAATATAATTAATAATACAATTAATTTAAAGCTATCATCATGAAAAAAACTCTCAACAGCATTCTCCATGAGTTTATCAAAAAACTGAACATCAAACTGAATCCGTTCAATATGACTGATGACAACACCTATTACCTGATCAATGGAACAAAGTACCGGACATCAGAAGTGAAAAACAACCCTAGCATCCTGGATTACAAACTGTCTCCTGAGGAGCGTGGTAAATCCGCCAACGAGCTCCTGAAGATGGCTTTACAGAAGGTAAAAGATGGATGTGAAGTGACAAATATCTGCATTTGACTCTGCACCCACCAGCTTTGATAAAACTTTTTTTGACATGAATGCTTATCCAGATAAAACTAGGGAAGTCTCAGTACATTTATGTATGTTTTTATATAACTGAGGAATGTCTATGTTGTGTGAATCATTATAGGGAAACGGATTGGGCAATATAGGTTTTAATAGGCTCCTACCAGATAAGGAAGGTACATATAATGTTCAGGTTTCTTTCAGGCTCCTAGTCGTTTGTTCCAGTAGTACTGCATGAAAAGTGAGATTTTCGTCCCCGTAAACTCCCGCAGATCTCCCTCATTTTCGGCAGTTAACGACAATTTGCAACCCGCGCTTGTCGCCGTTTGTCAGTGCCACAAATTGTCGGAAACGGACTCTGATGTATGTGGAGAGCGATCAGCTGTACTAATGGCCCTAATTAGCATATGAATGCAGCAAACCCGCGCGGCTGGCCAGGTCTGGCTTGAATAACCTACTCAGTATTGGCTGAAACCACTATTTTCAAACAAGTAAAATCGCTCGTGATTGGCAGCAAAACCACACGTGGCCAGGCCAGGCTTGAATGTTCTTACTGAGTATTGGATGGAACCACTTCTTTTTAAACAAGTAAAATCGCTCGTGATTGGTTGCCGCATGTATATATATATATATATTTATATTTATTTATATAATATATAAATATATATTTATTTATTTATATATATATATATATTTATTCATATTATGCTGTATATTCATGTTATCCTACACTACTACACTATTATTAGGCTACCATCAAGGACATGAATGAATTTATACAGGAAATGAACATTTGCCAGGAAGATGTTTATGCAAAGAATGAGCTTTATTAAAACAAACACAACTATATACAACGTGAGGATCTGCCCACACATGCGTATCCAAAAATTACAACTCCGTGAACGGTCCGTTTGCTTCCTCGGGGTTGGAGGTAACTGGCAGCATCATCTCCGAGGCAGGTCCGATGTGCAGACGCCTACTGTGCGTGGCTCTGTACTTCGGCGTCGCCTCTAACCGGGACTGCAGCTTAACACAGAGTTCAGAGAGATCCGGCCTATGAAATGACGGCGGCCGTACAATCCATCCGCCAACGACACCATCTTCTTCGCCAGACATGAGGTCGACTGTGGCGGACTTCCAGAGTTCCACTTCCTCATCTGCTAGCACACTCTGCCTCGCTGTCAGCAGCTGAAAAAAAAAACAATGAATCAGCGCACTGCGTATGGACACAACACATCTATCAATCCACCTGAAAATTGTCACCAAATAAAGTCTTACCCTCTTTCTTCTAGCTCGACTCCGAGCTGAATGCTTGGTAGCTTCCGTACGCAACGTGTTCTCTGGCTGCCTATATCTGAAGCTCCTGCGTACCGTCTCATAATGCATCTTACAGGCAGCTGGAAAACAATTAAATGAGAGTGGTATGAATAATAGGAGGTCACCGCCTCATTATGAGGCGAAATTAGTCTGTGAAAACAAAATCCGTATCTATTTCCTTTTACCGCAGAATGAAAGCATAATCTTTAACTCTTACCCTTGCTCCGGTTCATAGCGCCTGCAATTTGTCTCCGAATTGTGAAGACGGCGTACTGCTTCCTGTGAATCACAAAAAATACACTTTAATAAAGCTTGTTCTTGCAAGGCTACTATTAGCCGTAGCTTTAGGCTAGGCTGCTTTTAGCTTAGCTAGCTAGGCTGCTTTTAGCTTAGCTAGCAGTAATCGAACGTAACACCGCTAGCTTCTCTTCTTTGAGTTCGTCTCTCCTGCACAGTTGTTCGACTGCAGAACCGCCATCTTGTCCTTTATGGACAGCAACCTGGAGTGTACCGAATTCTCCAGTCAGGTGAGCCGCTCATTCATGTCGGCAGTATGTTGAGTAAGCTGACGAGACAGTCCACTGATAGCAATCAGCAGTTTCTTCTCGTCAGCCTGCGGACTGGCTGAAAGTTGTGGATCGCGTCGAGGAGTTGAAGGCGAGTTGAACGCGAGACGCCGTCCAGCCATTGATCACGTACCAGCAAAATCCAAACAAAGATACTGGAGATAAAGTTCTACTGACAAACATGTCTGCTTGCCCATAAGCTCACACGTGATTGGACGAGCAGTCGAAGGCTCGTCAGGCTCCTCCAATCACATACGAGGTCATTGTTATACGGAAGGACTTGCGAGAACAGCTCGCATCTATCATGTTTTTTTTTTTTTTGCTTTATTGTCAATTCCGTGTAACAATACAGAGTAATTCAAATATCAAACACAGATACACAGCAGTTGGTGACATTATAACTTTAAAAAAAATGAGACATAGAATGTAAAAAATAAAAAAAAATAAAACAAGGGAAACAAACATATAAATAAATAAACAAATAAATAAAATAAACATAAAATAATTATAGCTAGGGGTTTACATTGAGTTTATGGTCATTTACAAAAGTGTATAATTTTATACCATTTTTCTTCTTCAAAATTTAAGTGACTGAAAATACAAACAAAGTTCTTTAAGAAAAACGTTGAAGTTTGGTTTGGTCCTCATGTATTTGTTTTTGTGAATGTAAAATTTCCCCATCATAAGTAACACATTAAAGGCTAGGTCCTGCAGCTTATCTGTCATTTCTATTCCAAACAAAACATTCTCTTTGTCCAGATGAGAAGGAGAATCAAATTTAGATGAACACCAGAAGCAGAAATCTTCCAAGAAAACTTTCATGTACATACAATCGTAAAAGAGGTGACCAACAGTCTCAATTTCACATTCACAGAAGGTGCAATCATTTTCTTCAAAAACCAAAACGGAGCCTCAGAAATTCCTTGAAAGGATAAATGTCAGGGATTATTTTGAAATGGACTTCTTTAACCTTTGGAGCAACAGGAAATTATAGATATTTATTCCGCAGTTTTCCCACTTTCTCTTTTGGAAAATCCTTGGAGATTAGGTTTCTGTGGGATGTATCGGGATGAAATTCCTTGACAAACAAACTACTTATGACATTGTTGGTCAGCTTTTTATCAATAACAGACTGACCGTTGAGTAACAGAGAGGGAAGTTTTACCTGGACATGGTTTAGGAGTAGGTTGTATGACATTATGATCAGAGGCTGAGGAAGGGCTTTGATTAATATATTATATTGTTTTCTGTTATTTATCTTGAATTTAGAGCAAAGAGTTTTAAAAGGTAAAAAATTCCCTTTGTCATCAAGAATGTGCATTATCGACCATATACCACTTTCTAGCCAGCTCTTGTAAAATAAAGACTTGTTCCTGAATAGGACATATCGGGAGTTCCATAGTGGGGTGTTATGAGGACTAAAATTATGCTTAAATATTAGTTTCCAATAAAGTAAGACGTGTTGATGAAAAGAATAAAGTTTAACAGGAAGTTTCTTAGGATCAAAATCACATTTAAGAAGGAAGTTAATTACTCCTAATTCTATAAATGATTTGGAGGGGATATGAAACTAAAAACTATTTTCATTTTTCAGAAAAGATTTGAGCCAATTCATTTTAATCATTCCGTCTAAACATTCAAAGTCTATTGCTTTAAGACCTCCATCATTATACTCTTTAACCATTGCTCCTTTCCTAATGTAGTGTGTCTTGTTTTTCCAGATAAAGTTGAAGTTAATTTGATTTATAGCTTTAATTGCATGTTTAGGAAGGGATATGGAATACGCTCGAAAGATAAATCTTGAGAGACATTCCATTTTGTAAGGAAAGTTCTACCAAAAATTGATATGTCACGTTGAGACCACAAATTTAAGTTAAGTTTACATTTATCTAAAATATTCCAACAGTTTAGTTTTTCCAGTGATTTACTGTCTTTGGTGATGTGAACACCAAGATAATTCACGGCAGATTTAACAGGGATGTTTTGAATGGCAGTCTGGGAAGAGTCGTGTATCGTCACGTCTATCATGTAAACATTGCTTCATCCCCATCCGGACATTTTTATGGAAAGCCAATAGAAGTTTGGGGCTTGCAGGGAACAGACACGTCATACCCAGCATCATTTCTGCCAGATGAGCGCATTGCTAGAAGATGTGTGGTTAATACATCCTCTGTGCATTTAAGTAAGACCAAAGAAAAGGTGACGGTAGTCATGCCACTATGCACAGTAGTTGAGCTCTAGGAGACTGTGATCTCTGCAGACCCCTCATTCTGATTCTAATGTTGTTTGCATGGAATGCACATTTTACCTTGCTGATTCTGATTCACATTTTACCAACTGATTCTGATTAAAACTAATTTTTGAAATAAATTATTATGTGTATTTTTTTACATAACATTTGCCATTGCTAATGGCATACACAGTAATCTAGCATACTTTAATTAAATAAATCAATTCAAGCTAAAATGTAAGAGTCTATAATTAGATGAGCCTGATCTATTTGTACCAGAGATTTCCTTACCTATTAGAAAAATGTCACTTGGGGTAAAACTCCCCATTTGTATAGCTCACAGCATTTTCATTTACATGTTAAAGCCTCCCCTAGAATTCCATGGGGGGGAGGCATGGGGGGAACACTGCCTAAGAAATCCCACGTCAATTTCTGACAATTTATGGGAGTTTTCAGTGTTGCCTGCAAATTACCGTGAACAGCCGTTAACCTGAACTTCAACGACAATCTACAGTGCCGCATAGTGACGAAAATCACACTTTTCATGCAGTGTAGCTAGCAATCTTCTACACCAAAAAAGTCACCTGACTTGTATCAACAACAGGAATAGAAAAAAATTCATCTTAATTTTATCTATCTTGATAACTAGGGTTTATTAGCATTAGTGTTCCTCTTTTGTGTACACAACCCATACAAATAAATACATACCTGACATTTAATTTCGATAAATGTACATATATTGAAATAAATAAATAACTAAATTGTTTTCAGTATTTAAGGCAAACAACTCCAATATGATCCCCCAACTGGGGATGCATATCTCGGCAGGCATGCACTTTTTCGGCATAACACCAGACCGCGGTGGTAACCTAATCTGTGACCTCTTCATTAAACCGAAGCCAAGAGTAACTTTTGTTTTAAAAATGTAAGGAAAAGAAAGTACAGATACTTCTGTCAAAATGTAATGAGTAGAAGTCAGAAGTAGGAGGAAAAATAAGTGATAGAGTAAAGTATAGATACCTAAAAAGTGTACTTAAGTATTTGTACTTTGTTACTTTACACCTATGATAAACATTAATATTTTTTGTCCATGGGAGTCACGAAATCTTCTGTGAATGGACAGATTTAAAGGTGTTAATGTGTTTTAGCAATATAGCTCTTGATGAACATGGGTGAGTTTATTAAAATAAGATAAGAAGGATCTTTATGTAAATTTCCCTTTTTGCAGGTGAATGATTCAGTTTCTCAACATGGCTGTGAGGAACTGACGAAATTTGACAAATACACTGTCAAGGTAAGTTCAATGACAACAAATTTTGATAAAACTTATGTTAAACCTTTTTTTTTAAAGTGTATATTGTGCTTACTTTTTTTCTTTGCATAATATTAACAGCTTTGTCACCATAAAAAAGTTTAGTATGACAGACCTTAAAAAAAAGACGTACTCAAGAATAGGGGACATTTTATCATTCCACTTAATGCATGCTTTGTCAAAGCGTTCCCTCCTTAATATTTTGTATGTTATGTCTCAAAATTTGAAATTGGAATGGAAGAATTTTATTTTCAGAACAAGCCCACATCTATAACGGATATTCAACCTGCAAAACTGCAACCCAGCCTTGCCTTGCAGGTGGAATTCTTGCAGTATTTATTCATATACCAGCACACAAGAATCAATTTAGTATATTTAGTAATTGGTACCACTTTAGCTTTAACCACCCTAGACCCATTTCAGTTCAGACATAATGTTGCAGTATAATATTTTAGGTCGGGACATGTAGCTGTGATTAAAGTAAAAGCTGTGGAGCACACAGCTGAACCAAAAAAAAAATAAATATAATATGGCAGCACAGTTGGACTGGCTGCTGCTACCACATATGTTTTGTCCATTGGTAATTATTTATCCTGACTATAAATAATATTTACCAATTGATTTCATCTTTGACAGTAAAAGTTGTGGTTTCTCATAGTAAATGCCGTTATTGCTATTGGTTAAAACAAAACTTTGGCTGGCGGCCAATAAGTTTCTATGTCTAATTACACTCACCGGCCACTTTATTAGGTACACCTGTCCAACTGCTCATTAACACTTAATGTCTAAGCAGCCAATCACATGGCGGCAACTCAGTGCATTTAGGCATGTAGACATGGTCAAGACAATCTTCTGCCGTTCAAACCGAGCATCAGTATGGTGAAGAAAGGTGATTTGAGTGACTTTGAACGTGGCATAATTGTTGGTGCCAGAAGGGCTGGTCTGAGTATTTCAGAAACTGCTGATCTACTGGGATTTTCACGCACAACCATCTCTAGGGTTTACAGAGAATGGTCCGAAAAAGAAAAAACATCCAGCAGTTCTGTGGGTGGAAATGCCTTGTTGATGCCAGAGGTCAGAGGAGAATGGCCAGACTGGTTCGAGCTGATAGAAGGGCAACAGTGACTCAAATAACCACCGGTTACAACCAAGGTGGGCAGAAGAGCATCTCTGAACGCACAGTACGTCGAACTTTGAGGCAGATGGGCTACAGCAGCAGAAGACCACACCGGGTGCCACTCCTTTCAGCTAAGAACAGGAAACTGAGGCTACAATTTGCACAAGCTCATCGAAATTGGACAATAGAAGATTGGAAAAACATTGCCTGGTCTGATGAGTCTCGATTTCTGCTGCAACATTTGGATGGTAGGGTCAGAATTTGGCGTCTACAACATGAAAGCATGGATCCATCCTGCCTTGTATCAACGGTTCAGGCTGGTGGTGGTGGTGTCATGGTTTGGGGAATATTTTCTTGGCACTCTTTGGGCCCCTTGGTACCAATTGAGCATCGATGCAACGCCACAGCCTACCTGAGTATTGTTGCTGACCATGTCCATCCCTTTATGACCACAATGTACCCAACTTCTGATGGCTACTTTCAGCAGGATAATGCACCATGTCATAAAGCTGGAATCATCTCAGACTGGTTTCTTGAACATGACAATGAGTTCACTGTACTCAAATGGCCTCCACAGTCACCAGATCTCTATCCAATAGAGCATCTTTGGGATGTGTTGGAACGGGAGATTCGCATCATGGATGTGCAGCCGACAAATCTGCGGCAACTGTGTGATGCCATCATGTCAATATGGAACAAACTCCCTGAGGAATGCTTCCAGCACCTTGTTGAATCTATGCCACGAAGAATTGAGGCAGTTCTGAAGGCAAAAGGGGTCCAACCCGTTACTAGCATGGGGTACCTAATAAAGTGTCCGGTGAGTGTAGTTTGAAAGGTTCTGCTAAACCTTTCCCTTAACAGATTTGATGGATGCAGTCCAGATTGAGAATGTGTAGAGCTACATTTAAGTGTTACACATTATTAATATGGCTTGTTTGTTTAGTTTGCCTCATGTAGTTTTATTTAATTGTGAAATGTTATCAATCTTTTTATATATTATCTATTTCTGTGGTGTGTTGCTATGAATTAGTCTCTATGAACTGGCCACATCTTGCCAGTGGGAATTGTGCCCATTCCTCAGGAAAAATCAGCTCAATCTTGTCATGATTGGTTTTATATCAAACCCACATGCAGAACACAACGGAGGCTGGGTAAATGTTTAACAGAGTTTATTTAAGATGTTGACACAAAAACATGAACTGGATCTGGAACAGGTCCGGGTTGGGTTCACTGAAGTCTGCAGAGATGATAGTTTGATTAGCTGGGCAGGCAGATGATTAAAGAGTCCTTTTAGTTAATTTTGATTCTACCTTGACGGGGTCCAGGCTTCTCTTGTGAGAGAGGGAACCGTTGGGTCCAGAGACTGTTGGTTCAGCAGAGTACACAAGCAGCTGCAGCGTCTAGCTTCTGACTTTGGATGGCAGACCTTGATCAGAGTTTCAAGCTCTTCTCAGAGAGCAGCAGGGGAAATCCAAATAGGAATCTTCAGGTTTGGCTCACCAGGGCTGGAAGGCAGGTTAAGCTCACCCAGAGCTTCAGGCTTGAGACAGGTTTCCTGTGAGCAAAGACAGAGGAAGGTTAGAACCAGTCTTCTCACTTAGAGACAACTTAGATTCTTTCAGGTAACAGAGGCTCAGGTTGCTAACCAAACTAAGGTCAACACTGCGGCGTTGAAGGAAGGTCTGGCAGCTGCTTATAAAGGGAAGGTCTCCTGATGAGTAGATGCGTCTCAGGTGTGCTGGAGGGCTCCAGCCCAGGAGACCCACGGCGCACTCTGCTGGAGGAAGGTGGTACATCCCCAGATCCCAACAAATCTTCTTCATTTTCAGTTTAATTCAGCTTAATTTAGTTTATTTATATAAAGCCAATTGACATCTCAAGGCCCTCAACAAGGAAAATACAATCAAATTGGTGAAAAGTTTCTATCAAGAAAACAAGTTGATTGATTCATGGATTTAAAATATATTCTGGATGTGTTTCACTCACTAACGGTGATCTAAAAGACTAACCACAAATTCTAAAATCTCATTGAAGTGTTTCCCATTAAAGCACGTCACCACTATTTTTGCTGTAACCTATAAATCATTGTCCAAAAAGAAGATGAGCATAAGAGTCTTAACATGCACTCACAGACTGAAACATCCCCTGTATTCAGCACTGCTTCCCCCTTGACACTAAATAGTTTTTTTCAGTCCCTAAGGCTTGAAAACATTCCTATAGCATAAAACTACCGTAACAGTAGTTTTATGCTATATGATTATTGAGGAACACCGTTAATCTGCCACATTACAAATCCTATATTATTAAGAATGGTATGCTTAGGTTGACATGATATGTTTGGTGTGTGTTTAATTGGGCTCTTTGGTGGCTGAAATAATAGGTTTTAGTCTCATTTGACCAAAGAACCTTCATCCTTCAATACCTATACACTGAGAAGCCCTTTTAAAAAAGCAATATCTTTGAAGGTAATTATTTGCCCCAGAAATTTTTTCATCGTTTGATTTCACTAGACTATGTTGTGGAGCTCCATCACATAAAATACGAATGAAGACATGTTTTAATCACCTGTAGGGATGTGGAGAAATTAGTTATAAAACATAAGGAGTGAGTACTTAGGCAAAGGGCTGTATCTATATATATTCTGTAAATATTTATGGCTTGTATATATATATATATATATATATATATATATATATATATATATATATATATATATATATATATACATATATGTGTGTGTGTGTGTGTGTCAACAGCAATATCTACATAGCACCAATTTGAGCCATGGCGCCATTAGGATGATTGGAGACCTATTGAATGAGAACAGCATCATGGACAAGGGTCTAATTGAGATGATTTACCTTGAGAATGATGTCTCTGACGAAGTGACGTAAGTTCTAATTTTTTAATCTTTGAGAAGAAAAAAGTTTTCTCCAAGGATTTTTTTTTCCCCACAGAAAGTGGAGTCATGCTTGAAACTATTTTAAACTAGTTTAAAACAACTTCATGAGGTGTTCAAATAATTTTTAAAGCAACTAATGAAGAGACTTTAGAATATATTTCTCAAGATCGTACAGTCAGCTTCCATCTGTTGCAGATTCCTGCAGGGTTGCAAGGAAATATATTTATTCTCTGCTTTCTCTTAATTATTTTAATAATGATTAAACAATTAGCTGTATAAGTCAGGTACAATCCCTAATCAATGTCCAAACATGTTGGCTACCATAAACTGAAAAAAAAAAATAATAATTAAATGCCATTATTGTCATTTGCTTTTTTTGGACTGGGTGGTGGGGGCCACGCTCTCAGCAAAGAAGGCCAGCCCAAACACTTCCTAAAGTTCCTCTAGGGGAGAGGTGTCATACTGGTTTCAGAAAGGGTTGTGTTGCTGCTGGTTTCCTTTTTAACCAAGAATTAGCACACCATCCTCAAATCAGAGGCATAAACATTAACATTGCTGCTGTTTGCATGATGGCTGGCTTCCACAGCAATTATTTTATTAATTGTTAGGCTTAAAAAAAAACATAAGAGACCCCACACATCAGGATTAAAAATATGGATTGAACAGTGTTTGTCATATAGTTACAGTTATAATGTGTGTGTTAAACTGATAGGCACCTGAAATAGTTCAGGGTCAGCCTAAACTAATTACACTTTACTAAAGGCAAAATGAACCAGCCCAACATTAATATTTTCCAAATAAATTAATCAAGACAGACCTGAGTTCAATGAAGCATGTACTCTATATCTACTCAATATACATATTTAAATTATCTAAATAAATAACTTGTGGCAATGTGAAACATACACATTAATTAGGATAAGAACGTGTATTTAATTACATAGAAGGCTCCTACATGACTTGCAGAGACGTACATTTCCTTCTCGCCCATAATACACAAAAACTAGTGATAACAGGAGCATGAATTGTATTTTTGTCATTTTTAATGTGAGTCTACATACACTATATTGCCAAAAGTATTTGCTCACCTGCCTTGACTCACATATGAGCTTAAGTGACATCCCGTTCCTAATCCATAGGGTTCAATATGACGTCGGTCCACCCTTTGCAGCTAGAACAGCTTCAACTCTTCTGGGAAGGCTGTCCACAAGGTTTAGGAGTGTGTTTATGGGAATTTTTGACCATTCTTCCAGAAGCGCATTTGTGAGGTCGCACACTGATGTTGGACGAGAAGGCCTGGCTCTCAGTCTCCGCTCTAATTCATCCCAAAGGTGTTCTATCGGGTTGAGGTCAGGACTCTGTGCAGGCCAGTCAAGTTCATCCACACCAGACTCTGTCATCCATGTCTTTATGGACCTTGCTTTGTGCACTGGTGCACAGTCATGTTGGAAGAGGAAGGGGCCAGCTCAAAACTGTTCCCACAAAGTTGGGAGCATGGAATTGTCCAAAATGTCTTGGTATGCTGAAGCATTCAGAGTTCCTTTCACTGGAACTAAGGGGCCAAGCCCAGCTCCTGAAAAACAACCTCACACCATAATCCCCCCTCCACCAAACTTTACACTTGGCACAATGCAGTCAGACAAGTACCGTTCTCCTGGCAACCGCCAAACCCAGACCCGTCCATCAGATTGCCAGATGGAGAAGCGCGATTCGTCACTCCAGAGAACGCGTCTCCACTGCTCTAGAGTCCAGTGGCGGCGTGCTTTACACCACCGCATCCGACGCTTTGCATTGCACTTGGTGATGTATGGCTTGGATGCAGCTGCTCGACCATGGAAACCCATTCCATGAAGCTCTCTGCGCACTGTTCTTGAGCTAATCTGAAGGCCACATGAAGTTTGGAGGTCTGTAGTGATTGACTCTGCAGAAAGTTGGCGACCTCTTCGCATCCGCTGACCCCGCTCCGTCAGTTTACGTGGCCTACCACTTCGTGGCTGAGTTGCTGTCGTTCCCAAACACTTCCATTTTCTTATAATACAGCTGACAGTTGACTGTGGAATATTTAGGAGCGAGGAAATTTCACGACTGGATTTGTTGCACAGGTGGCATCCTATCACAGTTCCACGCTGGAATTCACTGAGCTCCTGAGAGCGACCCATTCTTTCACAAATGTTTGTAAAAACAGTCTGCATGCCTAGGTGCTTGAATTTATACACCTGTGGCCATGGAAGTGATTGGAACACCTGATTCCAATAATTTGGATGGGTGAGCAAATACTTTTGGCAATATAGTGTATATGTAAATATTTAATTTGCGTTTTTGACAGTTTATGGTTAAAAAGGGATAAAAAGATAATTATGAAGGTAATGTTTTGCACCTAAGCTGATCTCCCTGCATTTAAACAGGTTATCTGATTGGTTGTATTACACGTAGTGTATGTATGCATCATTAGTAATGTTCTGATAAAGTTGTCATAAACCATCCCTCCATTTTATTACACGTTTAATCCCAAATGGGATCACGAGGGATGCTGGTGCATATCTCCAGCTGTCTATGGGCGAGAGGCGGGGTAAACCCTGGACAGGTCGCTAGACCATCGCAGGGCAACACAGAGACAAACAGGACAAACAACCAATCACACACACACTCACACCAAAGGAGAATCTAGAGAAGCCAATTAACCTAACAGTCATGTTATTGTACTGTGAGAGGAAGCCGGTGTACGTGGAGAGAACCCACACATGCTCAGAGTGAACATGCAAACTCCATGCGGAGCTTGAACCTTCTTTCTGCAAGGCAGCAGTGCTACCCACTGCACCACCTGCCTGTTGTCATAAACTATAATTGTTAAAACTAAACTTAGACATACTAAATAACTGTTTATTACATTGGTGAGTTATAACCTATATACATGTAGCAGATCCTTTAAAGAAAGTTTAAGGAACCTACAGATAAAAACTCATGATGTCATGTTTTATAATCTCCAGGTACAGTGAGGTGACTGGCGGGACAGATTATATCACCGGCAATCTTAGCGCTACCCTGAAAGAAGACACAGTCATCCCCAATGCTAAAGTCATCAAGATCGAACAAAATGCAAAAGAAAATAAAGTCACAGTGTACTACCAGGATAACCAAAACAATAATCTAAAGAAAACAGCTAATGCTGTGTTGGTGACAACCACTGCCAAAGCGGCTCTCTTTATGGATTTTGATCCACCACTGAGCCCCTCCAAAATGGAAGCTCTGAGGTCAATCCATTATGGGAGCTCCACTAAAGTGATCCTCACCTTCAAAAAAAAGTTCTGGGAGGAAGAAGGCATCTATGGGGGAAAGAGCATTACTGATCGACCCTCTCGATTCATTTACTACCCGAGCCACAACTTCACAGGAAACGACAATATTGGTATCCTGCTGGCTTCCTATACCTGGGCCCAAGACTCCACCCTCCTTCTGGGATTGAGTGACGATAATCTGAAAGAGATGGCTCTGAAAGACCTGGAATTGATCCACGGTGACCAAGTCAGGTCTCTGTGCACCGGAGTTTATGTGAAGAAGTGGAGTACGGATCCTCATAGCCATGGTGCATTCGCCCTCATGACAACTAATCAACGCACAGACTATGCCACAGAGCTTACACAGAATGAGGGCAATATTTACTTTGCTGGTGAACACACGGCCTATCCTCATGCTTGGATCGAGACATCTATGAAATCTGCAATCAGAGCAGTTAAAAACATAGAAAGCCATGCTTTTTTTACACCACTGATTCCTGGCAGCGCCAGAGAGGAGCTGTAGGATCCTGAATCCTCTCTCTCTCAATGATTTTAGTTGGAAGCAAAACTACTGTCGGCCTAAACAGTTTAAACACTTTGCTTAAACTTGACACCCTATTGTTTTTTGTTACTTATCTATTCTCCTAGAATATGGCGATTGTCACCAGCAAAATATTAAAGAACAACATAAGAATAGCAAATAAAAAGTGAGGGGAAAAGCACTCAAAAATGCTTAAAGAAAGGAGCCAATAAAGAAAATAGGTATTAGGACTGTTTGGGAAATTTATGCTTTCCAAGTTGTATAGCATATTTTAAAAAATATGACCTTGCAACAGTGTCAGAACACCTTTTAGACCTTAGTGTTATAACCATTTTCTCATTGAATTTATACTTGGTTCTTCTATCACTGTATCTGTAATGGAAATGCGTCCAACAGACACACAGAAAAATGTATCGGAGATTTGGTGATTGGAAAATGCCACTGTGAGGAAACATTGACAAACACTGAGTGCTTAGGAGTTCTTTATATTCGATCATTTGTTTAATTTGCATGGTCACAATATATCCTTTTGATTAGTCTTGTCTATCACAGTTCAGTCTGTTTCACAACTCATGATTTTTGTTTTGACTGTATCGAAGTTTGAGGTTCTGTGACCTGCAAACTAAAATTGAAAATTGTTTCACTGATAATTGTGCCTAAAAACAGCCATTCTTTGATGAAATATTCCAACTTAAACATACTCAAATCAGTTGACGTCTTTTTTTTTTTTTTTTTTTTTTTTTTTTCCTACATGGTTGTCTATCCTACTTGAGTTTTACTGGTATGAATATATCCTGGTGGTAGAAATGTTTTAGATCTTGTTTGAAGCTTAGGTTTCTTATTCAATTTAATGCATACTTTTAAACACTTTGTTATGTTTGGGTCATCTTTTACTATACTTTCATTTTCTTGGAAATTATATTTTCTTTATCATTTTAAATAAAATGTAATTCTGCTTATGTGATACCTTTTGGGATCAAAGGTGAATTATATCCTTGTAATCTTTCTCTTTATGTACTAACCTGAAAATTGTAACAATAAAAAACTGAAGCATTCACTTATCTGCTTTCATTTGTGTCTATATATGAGAACAGATCTTTTAGGGTTAGTTGTTTACTGTAAATAGCTTTCATTCTCAAATCCTTGGTTGGCCCCTAAAACTCATTATTAAGATGCCTGCGGTAGCCCAACCAAACCCAAAAGCTACTTTGTGCAAATAGAAAAGTGAACCAGTGTTTTTAAACTCTGGTCCTTAAGAATCTCTGCCCTGTTTGTCTAGGATGTTTCCAGGCTGTCCCACACCTATCACTTAATGGTGGACTAAAAGGGTTTTCTGAACTCCAGTCACCTGATTCAGGTGTGTTGAAGCAGGGAAACACCTAAAACATGCAGGCAGTGAACCTTAAGGACCACAGTTAATGGTCGAAAAGCAAAAAGAAAGTTGATCTAGAAGAATTCGGAGCAAGGTCAAATTAGCTTTTAACAAATTTAGAGCTATAATAATTTGTTCAAACCAATTCTTACCAAGAAATAAAGATTATTTGGTCAAACTAAATAGATTAAACACTATTCTGCCTAATCAGAAATAACTGTTTAGAAAACTGACCCTTAATATCATGTGATTATTCCTGAAGGAAGAAAAGCAAGTTAAGAACCCTTAAAATGGCAGAGGGGAAAGTTTAATAATGCCTGGAAGCACACTTGGTGACAGATGTGTATGTTTAAATGCTTAGCTATGGGTTGTTAATAAAAGGAAGATAATCTAGTTTTAAAGGACTACTTGGTCATATACAGTGGGGCAAAAAAGTATTTAGTCAGCCACCAATAGTGCAAGTTCTCCCACTTAAAAAGATGAAAGAGGCCGGTAATTTTCATCATAGATATACCTCAAATATGAGAGACAAAATGAGAAAAAAAAATCCAGAAAATCACATTGTCTGATTTTTTAAGAATTTATTTGCAAAATATGGTGGAAAATAAGTATTTGGTCAATAACAAAAGTTCATCTCAATACTTTGTTATATACCCTTTGTTGGCAATGACAGAGATCAAACGTTTTCTGTAAGTCTTCACAAGGTTTTCACACACTGTTGCTGGTATTTTGGCCCATTCCTCCATGCAGATCTCCTCTAGAGCAGTGATGTTCTGGGGCTGTCGCTGGGCAACACGGACTTTCAACTCCCTCCAAAGATTTTCTATGGGGTTGAGATCTGGAGACTGGCTAGGCCACTCCAGGACCTTGAAATCTTTCTTACGAAGCCACTCCTTCGTTACCCGGGCGGTGTGTTTGGGATCATTGTCATGCTGAAAGACCCAGCCACATTTCATCTTCAATGCCCTTGCTGATGGAAGGAGGTTTTCACTCAAAATTTGACGATACATGGCCCCATTCATTCTTTCCTTCACACGGATCAGTTGTCCTGGTCCCTTAGCAGAAAAACAGCCCCAAAGCATGATGTGTCCACCCACATGCTTCACTGTAGGTATGGTTTTCTTTGGATGCAACTCAGCATTCTCTCTCCTCCAAACACGACGAGTAGATTTTTTACCAAAAAGTTCTATTTTGGTTTCATCTGACCATATGATATTCTCCCAGTCATCGTCTGGATCATCCAAATGCTCTCTAGCAAACTTGAGACAGGCCTTGACATGTACTGGCTTAAGCAGGGGGACACGTCTGGCACTGCAGGATTTGAGTCCCTGGCAGCGTAGTGTGTTACTGATGGTAGCCTTTGTTACTTTGGTCCCAGCTCTCTGCAGGTCATTCACCAGGTCCCCCCGTGTGGTTCTGGGATTTTTACTCACTGTTCTTGTGATCATTTTGACCCCACGGGGTGAGATCTTGCGTGGAGCCCCAGATCGAGGAAGATTATCAGTGGTCTTGTATGTTTTCCATTTTCTAATAATTGATCCCACAGTTGATTTCTTCACACCAAGCTGTTTACCTATTGCAGATTCAGACTTCCCAGCCTGGTGCAGGTCTAAAATTTTGTTTCAGGTGTCCTTTGACAGCTCTCTAGTTTTGGCCATGGTGGAGTTTAGATTGTGACTGTTTGAGGTTGTGGACAGGTGTCTGTTATACTGATAACGGGTTCAAACAGGTGCCATTAATGAAGGTAACGAGTGGAGGACAGAGTAGCCTCTTACAGAAGAAGTTACAGGTCTGTGAGAGCCAGAAATCTTGTTTGTTTGTAACTGACCAAATACTTATTTTCCACCATATTTTGCAAATAAATTCTTAACAAATCAGACAATGGGATTTTCTGGATTTTTTTTTCTCATTTTGTTGCTCATATTTGAGGTATATCTATGATGAAAATTACCGGCCTCTCTCATCTTTTTGAGTCGGAGAACCTGCACTATTGGTGGCTGACTAAATACTTTTTTGCCCCACTGTAGCAATAACATTTCTTAACATCCACCTTATTTTGGGAAATTCTCACCTATTTTGCATACCCAAATCGAAAAGCAAATAACTTAGAAACTGTAAGCCCACATTACATGTGCAATACAACATTTGAAAGCTAACATCTTGTAGTTTCTGAATATATAAATGAGAATTGGGTGAGTACAATACAGACCAAGCTACATCAGTTCAAACATGACTCAAAGTTGCTTTTTTATTCTTGAAAATTATAGGTCTTTTTTTAACAGCAGTAATAAAGACATGCTTGACAAAAGGCAGGTCTTATTGTATTACATTTGTCCTACATCAGGTCGACCACAAATACAGAAAATTTCAGACCTCTAGCTACAACAGTTCCAGAGCTGTGGGGCTTTCAACTTTTGGAGTCACCAGCATCTTTAAAAATCTCCAAAATGTGCCAAATTGCGCCAAATGCTTTTACAATCCTTTGCTTTACTATTTGACACATAGAATAACACTGAGGCATTTTGATGGCCACAAAACATTTATGAAGCAACTCTTTTACATTTTTTTAGAATCAGTTTATATAACAAAATGTATAATTTTTACACCTATAATAACATACAAAATCTAAAAAAGATAGTGAAACTGTTGCTTTTCAAGCTAAAATAAGCCCCAGTGCCTTTTCTGAGCTGTGTTTTTTTTTTCCTTTTTCAGCCATAAGTATTGTAATAAAACAAAATTAGCATCAAGACTTCAAAAAAAAATAGGACCGTTGTTATTACTCAGCTTAGATACATGCTCATTGATCCAGCTGCAGCTGTCTGTGTTTCTCTATCGCAAGCCAGTAACGCAGCTCCCCTTTATCGTCAGCATATGTAGGCTTGTTTGAAACCCTATTTCATTGGCTACAAAGCCCAACAGCCCTTGTGGTCTTAACCGACAGACTTAGACAGATTTTAGTTTGTCATTTTGTACATATAAGTGTGAACAAAAAGAAATTTTGTTAAGTACAGCTCTCTAGACTATTTCCTCTTTTAAAGTGCAGCCTTGATAAAGGTAAACAGCAGTGATAAAAACAATGTGATGAAAAAAAAGTGAAGCAAACATATGACTGTATAGTTGCAGTTTCAACATTTTGTTTGTTTTGTTTTCTTCTTTTTAACAGAAAGAGTCTGTGGCGTGCAAAATTAATTTGCCCTTTGCTTTCAGTGCAGCAAACTCTCTCCAGAAGTTCAGTGAGGACCTCAGAATGATCCAGTGTTGACCTAAATGATGATAGATAGAATCCACCTGTGTGTAATCAAGTCTCAGTATTAACGCACCTGCTCTGTAATAGTCTCGGAGGTCTGTTTAAAGCGCAGAGAGGATCACGAAGAACAAGGAACACACCAGGCAGGTCCAAGATACTGTTATGGAAAAGTTTAAAGCCAGATTTGAATACCAAAAGATTCCCCAAGCATTAAACATCCCAAATAGCACAGTGCAAGTAATAATATTGAAATGAAAGGAGTATCAGATGTACACCTGAGGCAGGAGACTGTCCATAGGACAAAAATCAGTTGTATACTGCACAAATCTGGCCTTTATGGAAGAAACCATTTCTTAAATATATCCATAAAAAATTATGTTTAAAGTTTGCATACCAAATTTTCCTATTTTTTATTTGTCAAAAAAGATATCACATAGATTTTGTTCCACTTTTTGATTGTAATATATGAATATTTATTTACACACATACATATGTATATATGTATATTCATATACATATATGTGTGTGTGTGTTTTTCTCAATTTTTGTTAGATAGGTAGATCATTTTGAGTTCCCTTTGCTATTTATTTGTGTCCAACACCTGTTAACCTTGTTTGTCCACTAGGTGGCACGATCAACAAGTCTGATGATACCAAAGACATCACAACTACATGTTTCACTTTTTATCTTCTCAATTAAATTTACTGTTATTAATTAAACCTTCATTAATTCTGCCAATTAATTAAATATAACATCTCATAAAACACATTTCAATAATAGTATTATGTTTTATTCCAAGATTGTTTTTTTTTTTTTTTTTTTTTTTTATGTATTGAATGAATATCTTCCCCTAACTGTCAGACTGAGCTGGTGATAAAAAAAATCTGATCTACCTGCTTTCTCTGAGAAAGAAAGAGAATTGACAACTCAGAATGAGTTCTGGTTTAAATTCCTGCAGCCAGTCAAGTTTATACTACAGGCATAAACTTTCTTAAAGTTAGTGCATGTCTGTGGCACATGAAAGCCTAGATCAGACACACAAAGCTCATTAGAAAATGTGTGTCCTTTACTGAGGGAGTATATAGATTTTAGAGAAAAAATATCATATTTTTCTTTTTTTTTTTTTAAAGTGTCCTGTCTGGCAATGTGGCAATAACAATAATTGTCTTGATGCCAAAAAGAGCCCAACAGATTTTACTTTCACAAGTGTAGCAGTATGGCAATTGCCCCCGGCGCCGGCACCAACACCCCCACCCCGAGAGAGAAAATAGCATTACAAGTGGGTTGAAATCCTGTAACTGCATTTAATCAGATACTATCTAGATAGGTATGTAGCCATGTGCTACTTTAAAGTAGCTCATTGATCACAATTCCTTATAAAAGCCTGTTTTGAACCATATGAAACCATTACATAAATTAGCTGTTAAGTTTCAGTATCTCCAATATGCAGATGTGGCTGAGCGAGATTCAAAGTTTTTAGCCTCTGACCCACGAAATGGTGCTAGAGTTGATCCATGTCACAAACTATTGTATGTGCACTCATTTTATTCTAAACTGGTGAAGATAAAAAAGAGAGGTAATATTTCTAATCTATTATTTTCCATTAATTGGGTTCCTAATAAACCCAGAATATAAGTAATATATTCTTTGTTACATATAAAGCCCTAAACATCCAAGCTCCATCAGATATCAGATATCTAACAGTCCTTTATATCCCTAACAGAGCAGTCTGCAGGTTTACTAGTAGAATGGGAGGCAGATCTTTTAGTTATCAGGCTCCCCTCCAGTGGAAATAAGCACCAGATTAGTCCATGAGCCAGACACCCTGTCTACTTTTAAGACAAAGCTTAAAACTTTCCTTTTTGATAAAGCTTATAGTTGTCATGGTTTTGACATGAAGATCCAAGTGTGATAAATATTTATATCAACAGTATGAAGGGCAGAGGAGGGGAGATTTATAAACAGCGGCTCTGGGGGTCTGGTTCTCTGAAAAGCATGGCACAGTGTTATAATGGAACGTGGCGGGGATAAATGCAGCAGGCTTAATCTTCTGAGTGACAATCCTTAACCATTGAGAGGTGAGTGGGATCTCAGGTTGTGGCTGAAAGCTTGGTAGAAGAGAATAGATTTTTCAGGTGGAGGTTGTTAGTTCAGGTCGACGGCAGTTGCTGGGCCAGATGCAAGGAGGAACAGTTTAAGTCTGTTCCAGATCTCGTGAGGGTTTCTTGGAGAGAAGGCTCTTTACCCAAAGGCTAGTAAACTCTAAGGAAAGGTTACCTGAAATGACTTTCACTTGATTTAACTAAATGACATTCATTTGATCTAACTAAAAGTTCTCAAGGGGCGTAGGATGGCTTAAAATTATATGGTCTTGGTTCTGTTGTACTTTACTTTGCTCCTTGTTTTCTAGTTTTATTGGTTTAATTCCTATTTTGTTGTAGTTTCTAGATTTATGTTATGTCTTTTTTTATAATATGGTGTACAACAGGTAAAATATTCATTATGTTTTTCAATGCTGTAAAGATTTGTATGATAAACAATGTAAACATTTCTGTCAATGAAAATTTGCATCATAACTTGCAACAGATGTTTCAGTGTGGTGCTGTGCCAGGCAGGTAGCCCCACGGTCTGCAGGTTCTCACAGATTTGCCCCTTTTTAAGTGCAGATTAAAGACTCCTTTTTCAAACTATCTTATGGAACACACTGTTTTATGCTTAGGATTTTTGTGTTTTACAATGTTTTTATCTTTCTGTGAAGTACTTTGGTCGTCCTGGTATTGTTGTAAAGTGCTACACAAACTTTGATTCACAGGTTAATTTATTCTTCTGACACATAGCCAGCAGGATATGTGTTCATAAACTATATAACACAGTCCGATTATTCTCTGATTAAATAATATATTTACCACCCCTATTGGGGTGGGCAAAAATATAACATAGTTGCACGACAGAAAACTGTGTGCCCTTGAATCTAAACCTAAAAAGACAAAGATTAGTCTAGTCTTCATAAAACAGTGTCTGTGGTGGTACCCTGAGATGAAGCTGAGGTTATCCTGTCTGCTTTGTGCATTTCCTGTTTCTCAAAAACATAACCCATCTTTTGTCACGCTTGGTGGTTGCTTATGCTGTAAGAGAAAAAAAGCATGGTTTTGCTTGAAGATGGTTTCGCTTTTGACTTGAAGTTGCATTTATGCCCCAACAACTTGATGTGCTGCTAAGCAAAGCTGACCATTTTAAAGTAAATCAAAGAAATAATAGGTCATGTTTGTATATTGAGTAATTTGTGTAAGCTGGTTTACAATGAGGAAAGGTTACTCTGAATGCAATATGACCCTCAGCTCTAGTTGAGTTGAGTAGAATTTCAGGCTGTGTTTTTACCAGAGATAGCTCAAATATCAATTAATGCGCTCTTGACTCATTAAAAGTGTCAAGAGTGTGAAGTGTAAAGTCATGAAAATTAACTGAAGACTGAGATGCTAAGGGGAAAAAATATTGGGTTCTGCGCTTACAAAAGATGTAATAAGTAACTGAGGGAAAGAGAAAATTTTTAATAAGAACTGCTCCATGGGACGAATATAACTTTATTTAGTGAGAGCCCCGCACTTTGCGGCCCACCGCCAGCTTATTCACACCTGGACACTGGGAAGCTTAGGGTCATTTTTAGCCTGAGTGCGCCTGAGCTAACCAGGTGAAGCCAGTTACGATATTTCGTCTGCATATGAAGAGCTTGGCTGAATCCTTGCTCAATGAGATAGGAGGTGCATGAGATGGACCCTCTCCAACATTACAGAGCAACTGCAGAATGTCCAGAACAACACTTTTCCTCCTTATCATTTTGGAGATCAATGACAATTGATTGTTCATTACTATGGAGACCGTTCTTGCTCAGATTGTCCAATCGTGGTCATTGAGTCGATGGCGACATTGGGGTGTACTGCCTTTCACCCAGCAGTTAAAGCAGCAGACTCGGGTTCTTGAACTTAAACAACAGCTCGATTTTTAATTTGGAAACTATGAAAGTTCAAGATGTAGAGTTCAAATATACTTCTTAGAAGCAAAATTTATATAAATCAGTACTCATGCACCAGTGCCCCCCCAAAATGTTTAAACTGCTTTAACCAAACTTACTTAACCAAAACTCAGAGTAATTATAGCAACAATAGGCATGTTTCCATCAGCTTTCTCTAATAAACATTTGGAAGTACTGTATCAGAAAATCTGGATGGAAATGGTAAATTTGTGGTTATTGCGCAACACAGGCAATTGAACTAATTTTTTTGAATCAGCTGTGATGTAGCTAACTAGCTACCATGATTGATCAGGTGTTTCTGCTAATGACTTCTTCACCTGATGTTCCGATTCTATGCGGAGACATGGCTTTCATCAGTTTCTGACAAGTTTTATTGTTTGACAAGAACTGAGCGGTCAAAGTATTTCACTGTGTTTTGAAAGAAGCTGAAAAAAAAACATTATCTTCAAACAGATACTGGAAAAAAAAAAACAAATGTGGTATACTTTTTTATCTCAATATCAATATTAATTTGGAGTGTTTTTTTTTTATTAATTCTTTAACTACTTCTGGCACTGATTGGCAAATTAGATATTAGATATCTTGGATCAGAATATGGTTACAAATTTATACATATATATATATTGTTTGTTTCTCCTTAACATTGTTGCTGATTGTATTCCTTGTATTCCCTGTGGTAGGGATGCAGCTGAGTTGTATGTATTTACAGTAGTTGTTGTTTAGCGAGTTTGCTGTGGTGCCAGAGCAGTTAATGACTAGGCGAACCAGGTGAAGTGATGATGGCTGCCAGGTGTTCTGTATCACACACAGACACGCACAAGCTGATAAAGGTAGATAAAACAGAGTTGATGTTGAGTTTTCATCAGGTAGTAGGCGTGCATGGTAGGTGGAGAAAAGCAGAGATTCAACTTGATAAGCTAACAGTGCTTCGAAAGAAGGCGGATCTTCATGCTCACTGAAAATCATACCACAGAACACATTCAGATGTAAAGAGTATGTGGCATATGGGGGAAGGAGGGTACAGTGAAACAACAAAGAGAAACAGCACCTAGATGAGGACATATGAAAGACAGGATTTTTACAACACTTAATTACAGCTTGATGTAAGTACAGTTTAATAAAAAATGATTTTGTGAAAAAGAACTATTTGTAATTACCATAGCAACTGATGGGGAGGGATGGGGAGATTGAGTTTTGTCTAATTTTGTCCTTTTAGTCTTTGTTTCTAATAATCTCTGGAAAATGAGTTCATAATTACACTTTTAACATGTTTTAGGAAAAAAAGCTGAACCATCTTTACAAATACATCCAAAAACCATCCTCCTTCTGTTAGCATTTTCAATGAAGGCCATCAGCATGGTTTATTTTAATTTAATGCCGAAAACCTTTGGACACAAAACAAATAAGCAGTATATATATATATATATATATATATATATATATATATATATATATATATATATATATATATATATATATATATATGAGAGTTTGCAGGAAACTGTCAACAGGTTTCAGCTTATTTGTGATAAATGTTCACATCTACATGTAAAGCGTTTCCGCTTCTCTAGTAAAACTAAACTTTAGGAAGTCATGTTGTAAGCCAGTACTTTACTTCTTAAGCAGCTGACGTCTTTTTGTAATGCACTCATTCTTTCCAACTTCTGCTTTCGAACATTACTGTACAACTGAAGAGCAAACTGAAAGTGTTTTTTCTTAAAAACAGTTGGGTTGACATAATGAAAATGTAATCTTTGATGAAAATGGGGCCTTCTTTACTTTATATGGGGGTTTTAAGGTGATCTTCACAGGAGTTGTTGATGAATAAGACATCATTTTTAGATCATCTAAAATGTGAATGAGATAGCTGAGCAGAGGATGAGTTTAGAGTCATTTCTAAATTGGGTTTTAATTATTTGAAAGAAAAACTGCTGTCTACTGAAAGATAGCTCTAAAGTTTATAGACACATTTTTCCTGAAGTCTGCAATGGTTTCACCAGTAACATCGGGTATACTGAAACTGCTCCCCCCTTCCCCTATCCTCCAACATCTGTGGATGCGCCCAGAAGAACGCACTCATCCTACACACACTACTGTCTCAAATGGGATTTCATGTGACCCCAGCCTTGCATGTGACCGTCTGCTGAAATCTCTGTCTTGTGTTACATGTGTTCACTTGACCTCTCAACTTGACCTCTTTACTCAAGTAAAAAAGTATGTGCACAAAAACTACCTAAAGTATAAAAGAATAAAGTAACTTAAAAAAAAAAAGCCAGATGCCACTATATGAATTTTAAAGCTCAGTTTTTCGACTATTTCTAAAAATTCTTTGAGATAGGGCAAAGGATGATGGAGGTCTTGTTGGTCTCTAAAGTGTGAAATATGCTTTTTATTCCCCTCTCCTTCCCAAATGTGGCTCCTATCTTTTCACATAGAAAAAGGCAGCATTATACAGCTGGGGCCCTCGGCAGCCATAAGAACTTGCCAAAGACAGCGTTCTGCGGCACGCATGACCTCGGTAAACCATTCTCCCTCTCAGCATGCCCCCCACCCATCCCACCCCACCCCAATGTATGTGATGTATTGTGATAAACGGTTTGTTCTAAATTGTAGTTTAATTTATTAATATTAGAACTGGTTTCAGTTTGAGCGGCCGTTAGCTAAACTGATTGGTCAAAACGTCCCTCTTTTCACCTAAACTAAGTTAATTTATGTTGAAAATATCGAAGTTCTAGCTTTGATGGCTACTCCCTGGTAGGTGGAACTCTTGAAAATTATACTCCTGTTGTTAATTTTTTGCCCCAGCAAATACTGTCTCAAATGAGAGGTGGACGTCACTACAGCCGATAATTCACACCTGGTGGTGCAGCAGTTCTGCTCTGTAGCAGACAGTGTATGATCCTCTGTTTCTCTATACCTGAAACCTCTCCTAACCCTGCTGAACAGGAAACAAAACAGTCCTAATACCCAATGGTGGATACTCAGAGTCTATAAATTAAAATCCCTTCCTAGCTTTCCTTCTTCCTGTTCACTTAACCAAGTTATCAGCCCTCAGTCTGTGTTGTAGAATTGGAAATACATATGGTTGGAATTAATCTCTGTACAGGCGCTACCAATACCACATGAAAAAGGAAAGAAATGAACTTGATCCAAGGACAGGAGCTGATATCAGGTGCAGCTTTGCTAATCAAAGGCCTTATAGCATTTGGTCTTGAATGGGCTTGAGTATAATGCATAAGCTATATAGCCCAAAGTGATCGGTTCCCACTTGCTGACAAAAGCTACTAACTCAGCAGCTCTGTGGTTTTTGCTGTCTAGCATGAAGGAACAAATACAGATGTCTCTCTGGTGCATTGGTGGTTGTAATGGTGCCCTACATATGAAACTGAGGTTATATGTCTGAACGTGGCTGGGGTATTTCCTGCTTCTCAGAAATGTGACCCATCCTTTAGTGCTGTTCTCACACTGGTTTAGATGTTGTGGTTTTTATGTTTAGGGGAAAGACTGGTGGTTCTGATCTATGGTCATAAATATTCTGAACAACAATCAACAGAATTAGGTGTGACCTTAAGCATGACTATGCAGTATCTGAAAGCAGATAAATATCCATAATAAAATACTTTTAAGTTTAGAGGTTTTACAGATTTCTTTGGTAATTCTTTGAGTAAGGCCGAATGCCACAGACCAACCTGTCCCATTTACAAAGAGATGGTCTCCCTGTGACCTACTGACAGCCTGTTAGTAAATAATCTAATTCGAGTCTCCTACACTACACATTGGGTAACATTTGACTTAAAAGAGTAATGCTTTTTGCTCGCATTCTAACTTCAACAAAGTTGTGTCTTTATAGAGCTGTAAACTATATCATGGTTGATGATGTAGACATATTTCATTTCATCATTTTAACCAAGAAAATTTTAAATAATGCACTATTTTTTGTGCATTTGCATTAGTGGGCCTTTATTTGTGTGAAATTGTGAAATAATTCACAATAATTTATAGATGCTGGAGATTGGCCTGTTATCCAGTGTAGTCCTGTTTCTCTGACCGTGACTGGCTAGATGTGCTCTGTTCATCCTTTGACATGCTAGCTGGCTAGGTGCTCCTCTGCCTGGCTGTGTGTTTCCTGGACGGGGCCGCCTTTTACAGCTGCTTTTTGTATCTCTGCTTCTGTCTCCTTGAACCCCAGTCGGCCTCGAGAGATAGCCACTCATACTGAGCCTGGTTCTGCTGTAGGTTTTTATCTGTTAAAGGGGAGTTTTTCCTCTCCACTGTCACTACAAGCATGCTTAGTCTTAGGGATTGTGTTTGAGTCAATGAGTCGATGCAATCATATGGATACATTTATAACAGTGTATGAATGCATCCATATTTGATGGGGTAAATGCATTTTTTTTTTTGGCATGTATTATTTTTCTGCGTTTCAAATGTAACATTTGAGAAACATGTTTCGAACATGTAATATGGCAGCTTTGCTCTACTAAAGAGTATCTGTAACTGGCCTACTGAACACATGATGGTTGCCTCTGGCATCAAGTAGACCAATGACATTACTGAAGAGCCTGTGTTTATATGACCTTCAGTTTTCTGCACTGTCTTCAGTGTGACGAGCGAATGTCGCTTTGGAGTAAAGTATTTCCAAAGGTCAATAGGAAAAGTAGATAAAGGAGAATAGTACTTGAGGTCACAACAAAATTAACATTTTCTGCTGCTATGTGTTTATATGATTTAATTCCAATGTTAATAAAATCAACAAAATAGACTATTTGGGGTATATATAAATATTAATCCCACTTTTTTTAAGTTCATTGTTATAGATTAAAAATGGGAGATGAAGTGTTATTATTGTCATACTTTTTCATGTAAGTGGGTGTGTCTAATATTACTGAATTTTAAGTACATTCCAATTTAAAGAAGAAAAACATACTGTGAGTATGTAGTAGTACTGTGTGTGTATGATATAGAAAACAGTATTAGGACCAAAAAGGCGTTGTTTCAAATGACATCTTTAAAAGAGGCAATGAACAAATGTTATTTTATAGAGAAAGTGCTAAAGAAGAGTTTTGTGAAGAACTAAAAGGTATCTGTTAAGATAGACTACAGTGTGATGACAAACACCATCTCTCTGAGTTTTTTTGCCGTCTCTTTTATACACAGCCTGGCCGGCCATATGTGCATGTATCTACATGCTTGAGAGCAGCTTTGACTCTGACATAGCCCCTCCCTGCCCAGAAAATGCCAGCGCCAGGCACAAAATGGTGGAGAGCACGCCCAGGGGATCAAACCGTCCTCCTGCTATTAGCATTCTTAAGTTATGAGTAACTTGTTTACTGAGTGATGATGCTGCCCTGCTGTGTAATTATCCTATGTAAATATGTGCATGCAAACTGATGGGTAAGAGTGTAGCTAGCAGTGTTGTTTTTGATTGACAGCCATCTTAAATTTAGTCTTAGTTTTCATCTTCAGGATGAAAACTATTAGTAGTTTTAGTCAAATTTTAGTCATTACTGTATGTGATAGTTTTAGTCCAGTTTTAGTTGGCTAAAACTCAAAAAAAAATTTTAGTCTAGTTTTAATCAGTTTTAAGTTGCAGCTCATAAAACATGTTACAGTTGCTGGAGATACAATGCTGCCATATAATTCGTAATTGCTGTGGGGCACACAATTTTTTTTTTATAAATGAATGCCCTACTTTACACAAAAGTGTCTCACAAGAGTTGTGAAAATAGATGATGTAGTTCAACACATCATATTGTTTAAAGTAGAACACAGACAAGCTGACAAAATTTACAATAAAGGAATGATTTTAGACATACAAGGTTAATTATGCATTACTCAGAGATCAATAAAACCTTAATTACTCCAAAATAACAAAGAACAAAAACATTGTTCTTTCTACTATGGCAATTTTAACTTTATTTCTATGAATTTACCCCTTGAAAACCGCTGCTTAGGGGCCAAAGTAGGTTAAATTCATAGGGACCTGATATTAGATAAATTACACAGAGAACCTGCATAAGTGCTGCGTAATGCCATGGGAATCCGGACCTAAATGCCATGAATATGTTGAATACAATTTTGAAATATTTCAAAGAAACAGAGA